AGTGCGTTTATGCTTCACTGTGCCCGTTCTTGTTGATTCCTTTGTCCAATATCCTTGTTAAGTGTGTTTGTGTTTCACTGTGGTGTGTGTGTGTGTGTAGAAGTTTGTGTGTGTGTGTGTGTGTGTGTGTGTGTGTGTGTGTGTGTGTGTGTGTGTGTGTAAAAGTTTGTGTGTGTGTGTGTGTGTGTGTGTGTGTGTGTGTGTGTGTGNGAGAGAGAGAGAGAGAGAGAGAGAGAGAGAGAGAGAGAGAGAGAGAGAGAGAGAGAGAGAGAGAGAACACGTGTGTGTGTGTGATATGTTTTGCTGCGGGGCTCCTGCGACCGTGTCACAGCATGATGCGTCATAACTCATGCTCCATGAACAACACCATGGAAAGAGTCACACTGTACCCAAGGGCTTACAATATACCATGACAGTATGCGGATAGGGAAGAACAAAGGAAGAAATCGTTCCATCATCGTGGTGTTTTCAAAGTATATCTGTAGGACGTTTTCAAACAACAAACAATTGACAAGGAGTGGAAGGCATGAGAGAGGTCACGGAGGGCGGGCAGACAAACCGCACCAGGCAGAAGCACAAGGCGGCAACAACTAGTCAAGAAGTAGCACTAGGGCGGTGAAGCAACAGCACGGTACAGAGGCTGGAGGGCATGGGGGAGGCGGGTGGGCAGGCAAGTCAAGAAACAGTACGACAACACGACAACAAAACAGACGACAAAGAAACGAAAAAACAAAACACGAAAAAAACAAAAGATGATAGACTGTTTCGTCGGAGTTGCACCGACTCATCAGGAGGCTGAACCCTCGACAATCTGCGGAATCCCCGTATTTGATGGTTTGGGTCATGAACCCTTTGACCCATGTTGAAGGCAGACTGTCCCCAAGAGGAACATAGCAGCGGGCAGCAACCCTGTGAAGCACCAGGCAACACAGTAGAGGCAACACGGCTGCACAATGCCAAAAACGACTGCAAGGGACGACATAGCACACAGCGCGGCAGCCGTGTAGTGAAGCACAAGGCAACACAAGCAAGGCAACAACACTGCAGGGGACGACAAGGCGAGTGAACCACCAGCTGGGCAACCGTGGAGCGGAGCACAAGGCACCAGCAACAAGGCAACCAACCTACAGGGAACACAAGCGGCAAGCACAGAAGGCACGGCCAACGGATGAGCAGCATGGCAGCGGAGCAGCAAAGCGCAAGGCAACACCAACAACACGGCCACACCGCACAGCGAACACATCAACCCGCAAAGAACCACATGCGAAGCAAGTGGGACAGGCAGCAGGGCAGCGGCGGAGCGCAGACGAGGACGTCCACACATCCAACACGGAGCAAAGCAGCACATGACGAACTCACATCACGATAGCCCGCAGACTGTTGGTTCCCACCACCCACTGAGCCAGGGAGTCACTCCGACGAACATCCGTCATCACCGACAGGCAACACAGACATCCCGAACCGAGCAGCCCCCATAAGAGTGCAGTAGGCACTCCAAACGAGGAACCACCGACTGTTTGGCACTACTTAAGGGTGCTCGGTTGGGCACACAAAAAATACTTTCTAAGTCAGGGGGAGGACAAACAATAGAAGAAAGACTGACAGACAAAAAAACTGATTGTGTGTGTGTGTGTGTGTGTGTGTGTGTGTGTGTGTGTGTGTGTGTGTGTG